AGCATTTAAGGATACACTTAATTTTGCAGTGAATCTACAGTGAATTTAGTTTCTCCTCAGAGCAGTGCTTATGGTGTATTCTGAATACTGATGTCTTGGGACTGCACTGGAGCCACGCGTGCAGGGGTTTGGATCCGTTCCTCCACATGTCCAGCTGAAGGATGCACTCCAGATGCTGAAGCTTTTTTGTGCTGCTTCTCCAGCTGCTGGGCAAGCCCTGAGCAAAGCAGTGAGTACCAGCCCTGGGTGTAGATGCTTCACATCCCGCAGGTGATTCAGTCCATGAGGAACAAGGGTTTAAGCCCTGGAGTCCTCCTTGGCATGGGCCTGCTTCCATAATGGCTATATGGTGGCTGAAGCAGCTGAGAGAGGAATGGATGGAGGGAGCATAACTGTTTGTGGCTGGTGGAAAGAACATACCATCTATGGACTTGCACATACAGAAGTCATGAGTTACTAGTGTTAGTCAAGGTTACTACATATTCATCCAGTGAGGGGTTTGTTTCAAGGAAAGGATGCTTCATCCTGTGAGCTCTTAAGCAAAGGTATCTACTGCCTCATCTTCACAGCTACTTTTGATGATAGCATGTGGCAACAGGACTGTGGGAAAGGCTGCAAAGACAGCCTTGGAAAAGGAGGTGGGAAGGTGGCATTTAAGAGAAGAGGCTGCTAACAACGCTCACACTTGGTGTGGCATCAGCAGGTTTAGGAAAGACGGTGCAACCGAGACAGAATGAGGAGATTCCACCCCCAAAAAGTGATTTTGTTTGTGCTTAGAAACAAACGTCAGGCAGATTTCCACAACCAAGTACTTCCCTGCAAGTGTTCCTCCTCCTCTTGTTTCCACTTGAGGAGCACCTCATTTATGGAAGGAATTTAGGTCATTCTTCCCCCAGTGGTGTTGCATATACTGTGCTGTCCGAGCTTTCTGTGCCAGTCCTGTCATTTTCCCACACGAGGTTCTGATGGCTTTTCGTACCAATTTGGTTTTCTTCCATCAGAAGACGTATGATCAGCCCTTCTTTCCGAGGTAATGGGTGCCATGGGTGAAGGCTCGGGACTGGATTTAAGCTGTGGGAGAGCTGGGACTGTATCCTTGTAGTTTGGGATACCAAAAGCCAAAGTGTGTGTACAGAAACTACTGGAAAGCCCCAGCAGTTGTCAGGGAAGCTGGTTTTACCAGAGAGCGTTATCAGGAGCACAAAGGGCAACGCTGCAGGAAATGGCTGAGGTCCAGCCAACGGAACAATGTGTGAAACACACCAGGAATGTTTCACGTGGGATTTCCAACTTGACTAAAATCACTGCGATAAAGCACCTGCTCTGGTTTCTCTATTATCCTTTGTCCTAACGAAAGCATGGCAGAAGGCAGAGGCTCATCCCACCTCCCCACTGCCTCTGATCCATCCCTGGAGATGGATTTGAGCCAGACTTTAATAGAAAACTCTGCCAAAAGGGATTTTTGAGAGAACATCCAGTCTACAACCTGTCCCGTGGCAGGGCCAAGCCCACCTGCTCTTCTTGTCCAAACTGCTTCTGGGAAACCTGCAGACAAACACACACGGGAGTAATTCCTTTCAGCCTCTGAACGTGGTCCCGAGACCGAAGGCAAACTCGGTCTGTGCTGCTGCTTTCAGCACAAGCTGAGGAGCACGAGCAGAGCTGCAAGAGGCAGAACCCACTTTCCTTCCTGCGTGGGCAACGCTGTGGTGGCTGCCAAGTCAGGCCCATCCACACTGATCAGGCTGCTGCAGCCAGGCGAACACATCACCCTGTGTGGGGATGATGGGTTTAGGTAGTACCAGCAGGGAGTGTGTAACTAACTTGATTATTCTGTGTCTTTCCATAGATCCAAATGAAGAGGAAATCACCACCACGTAAATGGCACTAGTGATCAAGAGAGTACCCAAAAGCATGAGAAGTCTTTAAGGAATGCTCTTGCCTCCCCCACTGCTAACAGATGTTCGCACAGCAGGAACATTCCAGACAGGTATGAGAAAGTTAATCTGCCAATGTTCAAATAAAGTAAGTAGAATAACTACCAGGATTATCAGCCACTTCCCTTTACCTCATTGTAAAGCATGCTAAAGGAAAAAGTGATTACTACCTCCAGGTGATGAAGCTGTTTCCCCTTGGGAAGATAAAGTGCCTCTTCAGAGAAACAAACAGCTGTAACATTCTGCCCAGGCGTGGGCAGATTGTGTCTGTCTCAAATGTATCAGACATCTGAAAACCTGATTACATCTGAGCTACTCAGAAGCATCCTTGCTTTGGCTGGAGGCCTTGCAGGGGGGTCACTTGCAACACAAAAGCCTCTTTAAAAGAAGTCTGCGCTTCTTGTAAGGGGTTAAATAAAGCACAAGTCTAAAATATGATAAATTATTGATTAAATTACTGATCAAAATATAGTTATCAGCTACCAGCATATTACCTTTGGCTATCCCAGTGGGATTCTTTTTCCGTGGATGCACTACCATCCCTTTTGAGAAGGCTCTTCCATGTCAGCTGGGTCCACTGACCTGCATCGAGGCATCAAGAGGTAGAGACTGAAGCTGCAATAAACCCAGCTGAAGGAGGAATCCGTCCTGACCTTGTGTAGCCATCTATAACCACACAGAGCAGATGCAACCAAACCCCCGTGCTGACTTAGCAGCACTCCACTGTCTTCATGCTCCATATAGTAACTGCTTAAGGTACCTGCTCAGAGAGATCCGAGCCCAGGCTGTGCTTGCGCAGTGCGGTCCTTATCTCACACCTGATCCGGCTGGATTCCTTCACTGCAGTCATAATTCAGCACAGAGGACACACCAAAACAATTCAGCAATGGCCTGTTTACCTGCTGCCTTCTCCAGCGCTTGGGAAAGCTTTCAACAGTATCAGGTATCTGTGGTGGTGGAAAAACCTGATTGTGAAGCTCTTTCCCCAAGCTGACGTTGGGAGCCAAGCAGCTGCCTGTGTGTGCCCCATCACGTAACCAGTTATTGCTCTAGAAGCTACACTGAGTGAGACCACACTTTTCACTGCTGGTTTCAGAGAAATCCTCCCCAGTTTTCTGTGCACATCAGAGCAGGCTCATACTCAGGTATCACAGCTGAGAACTTGGAATGCTGAAGTCAGAACAATTTGCTTTAAGACCTCCCGCTGATAAGCGCCACAAAGCAGTCTTTGTGTCTAGATACTTGGCAGAACAGCTAAAGCCTCAAACTCAAAACTGGTTTTTTCCTGCCTGGTCTCCCAGGGAATAGGGAAAGGAAGAGATCTGAGAAGAATATGCGGGAAGCTTGGAAAAGCCCTGGTGTCCCATTAATCAGCCATTTCAAATGACTTAAGTGTTTTGTCTTTCAAACAAAGTCATTGTTTTCCATCTTCAGTTTAATTGTTAGCATCAACCCTGCAGACCAAAACAAGAGCCAGGACCACAAGGATACTCGAGCTTTCCAAGATGGCCAAGTGAGAAGTCACTGGTGTCCAGTACTTTTGTGCACTTCAAACTCTCAGCCCATCACATGCAGCACCTGGAGAAGGCACCACCTCTTACAGTAGGTGAGTGGTCTTCAAGGGATCCTCTGCCTTCAGAGAGTGTGTAAGATTCCTGAGGTGGCGACTCACCAGGTCTACAGGAGCCCAATGACACCTCTGGTGTCTTGCTTAGATTTACAACAGGCTAATTCTTCTGGGATATGGCACTTACATTGGCATCATTCATATTTAACCTTGGGTACTGCGTTACACAAGCAATGGAAAGGGATTTGATACCTCAGCTCCCTTTTTGCCTAGCCTTCTCCTATCCTAGCATTGCTGAGGAGTAAGAGCCTGCTTTCCAGTTCAGTTATTTCCACTGACTTGATGTGCTCAATGCCACAATCCAGCTGCCCTCACTCCTTGACCCAAATCGGAGGGAATGAATTACGTTCTCTTATTAAAACATTCTGCAATGAGTTAGATGCAGAACATTTAGCAGAAAGTTCAGCAGAAAAGTTCTTTGACAGAAGCCATGACTCTAAATAAATACTATTAACTTGCTCAAAGAGAGCTTGAATAATGTCCTCTTAGCAATGTGAGCAAACCAGGGCCAGGAGTAACTCACCCACTGCCAAACCACTGTAAAAAACACATGTAAGAAGGGATATTTGGGGAAATGTTAGTGATACATCAGCACAATGACTAGCTGGGTAGGCTACATAAAAAGTGAGCACTATTTGACTTTGAGAGCTGCCCTTCTGCTCTTTCTTGCATGGCAAGAAACTAGAGGGCTAAGTACCACTATTTCCAAACACCAGTTGTTTCAGCAAGAGAAGTTCAAAGAAGTAGGAAGCTTTATTGCATACTGATTTCTCCCTGCCTAGAGGTTCAGCTTTCAGCCTAGGTCACAGAGTGGGCCTCAATTCATTCCAGTTACAGAAGATACCAATTATTCTTATCATTAAGGAGAATGCACAAGAGAGAGATTGGCAGTCAAAGCAAGGCAGTGCTTCTGGAGCTCGTGTCCTGTTCACAATACCCATTTTAAACAGCACACCCTTGTGCAGTTCTGGCTTCCATATCTGCATTTACCACAGGTAAAAGTTACAAATCAACATGTCAACTGAAAATGGAGTTAGAATCAACACTGTCCCTCCCCATTATACAAACAGCAGCATAACAGGGCCAGTAACACCCTCTACAGCAACCCTGGGGCTGGAACAGCGTGGTATCTTCTCAGTGTGAAGGGACAGCAATTCCCCAGGCTCTCCTTCCCCTTTCATATTCACCTACACAGTTCCCTCAGGAGTTCCTTCATCTCACTGGCCTCCAGCCTGTTAGACTAATAAATCAAGAATCACAAAGTAATACAGTAGAAAATTAAGTCCTCTGCATGTGCAGCAATGTGTAGATTGCTACTCAGTCTATGCTCTCAGGCCAATGACTTAATACTTATTGTAAGAGATTCCCACCCCCCACCCAGTTGGAATCCTTTGCTCAAGTATTTTAGACACAGAAAGAGAATGTCTCCAAATTTAGGAAAGAATCAGGTGTAATAGAAATCCAGTGGACCACCTTCTTTAAAGGGAACACAAAACTGTGTGGAAAAAGACTGTCCATTCCTTGACTGACTTGGAACTTCTTACGTGATGTCCTTCTTCCTTGGGGGTCGGTGAATGTTCCTCACCACACACTTCACCATCCACTCGATTCCTTCGTTCACTCCTTTGCTAAGGAAATAAAGAGACAAGATTTAAAACCAGCAACAACCAACTAAGAACAACACCATGGCTCATACAGCCCCTGAGCCCCCACAAGAGCAAGTAAAAGGTTCTGCCCTGCAGTTATTCATTGGCAGTGCTATGTTAGCTTCTCCCACACGCAAACAGTGGAAGGCTGACTGCTTTTAATGAGTGTATCAACTCCATCCTTACTTTGGAGCCTGTACAAGTTTATATCCCATTTAATTAGTCATTAAGTCCATGGAAACCTTGGGATGAGCAAGCGTCAAACCACCTGGGAGCACCTCTCTGCTGTGCACAGCTTCCCAGCCAGGACTTCCACAGCTCATGTTAGTGCAGACTCAGACAGAAATTTTGTAAGGGAATTCCACACAGAAGTGTTTGTACAAACTCCACAACTGAAAAGGCTGCACCGGAGAAGATTATTATCTATTACTTCTCTTCCAGTCAGTGCTTAACCATTGTTCTTGTGGTTATCATCTGCTTAATGGCATTTGAGTCTTAGCAACGCACACGACAGATTTTTCTCATGGTTTAAGCAGCTTTTCTTATCCTTTGCAGTAGCTTGTAGACTAATACAGATAAAACCCAAAGACATCTGAAAGCTCTGGATTCAGTAGAGGCAGCAATTCAGACAGGAGAATTTCTGGCCATCTGGACCAGTACTTTTGACTTACGCCAAATAGCACTTTTCACTCAAAGAACTGAAAGTGCAACCAAAATATTACAGGACTCAATGTGCAACAGTGAGGACAAGATGTCAAGAATCTAGTGGGTTGGTCAAGGTCATGGCAGCAGCTGAAGAAGAATCAGCCTCCCCAGTGTTGGTCTGCTCTAGCCACTGTATCTTAAACCACAAGCATCCCCAGTGTAAGAGCACTACTGGAGACTGTAATATTATCTACATAACAAAGCTCATCTGCACGCCAAGAAATCCAAAAGCAAGAGCATGATTAAACCAGCAGCAGTGGAACACTACTCAGTGTCATAAACAGCTGTATTTCCAGCTGATTTCTTACACAACAGCCAGGAGCTGCAGCAATCAATGACTGCAAAGATTACTGTGTACAGCGAAGGGATGATAAAGGACAAGAATCAGCAGCTCCACGTCGCTGCTCTCAGCCAGCAGTGTATTTTCATTGTGTTTCATATGTGGGATTCACAGATGAAGTTACTGACCCTGTGCAAGTCCAAGGTTCTCAAACAAGGATCTGTATCTGCTGGGAAGGAAGCACAGCTCCCCCTCAGGGACTATTAAATCCTATATACTGCCCTGCTTCTGTGACTCCCTGCAGCTGCTCAGCCAACCAGCACCCCGTCTGTTCTCATACTCACCCAGTAAGAGCAGAGCAGGCTTGGGTCAGGCAGTCTCTCTTCCCAATTTTGTTAATGCAGTCACTAAATGCTGTCTTGATGTCAGGGATTGACAGGCAAGTCTGCAAGGGAAACCAGAGAACAGCTTGCTTTCTACATTACAAGAGATGGTGATCTTTCCTCCACACGAATCCTAGCACATCCACAGTTGTGCTTCAGTCAGGGTGGCACGATGCTGTAAGGGCAAACCACTCCCAGAGGACACCTATTTACAAAGCCTTCTGGAACTACCAGTTTCAGAACTCCAGCGGCCTGGAGAACCCACCTCTTTCACCTTGTCCATCTCTGAGGCCTTTGACAAGTCCACATTTCCCATAGCAAAGTGGTGCTGTAGCAATTTTTTCCCCCAGTTTAATCCAGGTTAATCACTTCTCTTTTCACCCTCTGGCACAATCATGGCTTGCCCTAACTCCCACAAAGCTGTCCAGCCATTGCTCTCCATAGGAATCTGCATCAGGAAGAGTTTTGCCTCTGAGATTTTGCACCATTCACACTCTTACAGCAGAATGTTGCTGAATCACAACCTATCCCTGGCTTTGGGGGAATGTCTCTTTCCCCTCGGATGAAGTACAGTAACACCACTGAAGCATCAATTCAGAGAAGCCTTGGGTTAGTTTTTAAGGGGAAGCCATGCCCTGGAATCTTTTCTTACAGCAGAGGATGAGGCACATTAGCCATCACCTCAACGAGGAGCATCTGAACTTCTCATGCTTGGGAGAAAATGTCAGCTGTGGCTTCCAAGTTCCCCTCTTTCCTGCCTCCACATCCACATTACAAAATGTTTGTTTAGAGATGTGTTTTGTTTCTCAACTGAAACCACAGAAACCAAGAGCAAATCAGAGAAGCTGGTTCTGTGATCACATAAACACTGCACCATTAGAACAATAAAATCCACAGCTGATGGTATCTACCATACATTCCAGAGGAAACTCACATGACTGGGCAAATCCAACTTCCCGAAAAGAATGCACCATAAACCATCTTTTCATGAAGGCTCTTGAAGGCAAAGTGTAGCCAGGACTGACCTGCCTGCACGACCAAGTTCCTTTTATGAAGGGTTCAGCACCCCAAATTAAGATTCAGTAAGAGCACACTTAGAAAGGTACCAAGCAGCAAGGTTCCATCTCCGGAGTCACCTGCAGAAAAGCAGGAGCCACTGTTTCAGGGGAAAAAAGGCTGAACTGTAGAGTCTGAATCCATTTGCCAAATCCACTGCAGGAAAGACAATGCTGCTGCTTGGTCTCCCATCAGGATAAAACCTGAAGTCTAGGCTCTTTGGCCATCTCGAGAGCCAGCAGAATGGAACTAAGACAGGAACAACAGAAAGGTGGACAGCCTCGGTAAAACTGGTTAATACACATTTTGACCAGCCTGACCTATGTTCTGTGCCATCTTTTACAAGCCCATTTTAAATGAAAACTTCATCTTGTTTGAATTCAAGCTGATTTAAATCAAAACTAATTGGACAGGGAAGCTGTGGTATTTATGCTGGAAACTTGGCAGTCATGAAGAGGGGCTATTTCCTAACAACTGTATGGAAACTTGACAGCACTATTGAGTCTTCAAACACATGCTGCTACAACCATGACTCCTCTCATTTTCCAAAGACACGAGGAGGCTTCCCAACATTCTGGAGATTCCAAACTACATTCCTAAGATGTATTTTAAGATTAGGAAGGCAAAACTTCTTCCCAAAGACATCACACAACCTCCAGTTATTTTCATATCCTATTTTTTCTGCTCAGTTTTTCCACTATTAACAGTGTTCCAAAATGAGCCATTCTATCCTCAAGTTTTAACAGTTCATTGTGCTCAAATACACAGCGTCTCTAAACCTCCAAACAGCTGCAGTCACATTAAAATGGCAAACATACATGCTTATTTTGCAGCTTTTTCTGCAGCAGCTAAGCCAAACACCTGACATTGTCTGACTTGAAAGGGACTCCACAAGAACTATTATATATTGGGCACTTAATTCCCCCACAGAGCTGTCCTTTAAAAACCAAACCAAACTCCTTCCCACAACACATGGGACCCAGGCTTTTAATTAACTACAGAATGATCCAGTTCTGAAGCTGCTGCTAAACACAGAGCATTCCCCTGGTACAACCACACCCCACACCCCCATTTTGGTGTTCTATGCAAACTATGACTGTATTTCACCTCCAAATACAGCCAAAGCCCACTCCTGCCTGGCAGTGCTGAGCAGAAGCACTTTACCCTGGAGCAATGGTGCCCATTAACAGCAGAATTCTTTTCTACAAGGCATCATCATGGCCAAAACATTCTTACACTTGATGCAATTTCAGGCATTTCAGGCACAGAGTCAGAACTCTGGTTAGCTTCCTGTGAGGAATGTAAACTGTAAAAAGACACAAATGCATGCCAGATGTAAAGCTGCTGATGTATTTCACCACACGTCTTCTGCTGGCCTTTAAAGATGAAATCATGATGAATTATCATCTCTCATCTGCAAATACCAGCAAAGTTAAGATACCACTTATCCTCCCTCATCATGATCCACAGAGGGATGCTGGTGAGAATTGCCCACTACAATTATGTGTCTGGAGATCCAGAGCAGAAAACTCTCTACCAGTGTTAATCTTGTAATGTCCAACTTTCTTCAGTTCTCCTAGATCAATGGGAGAGAAACAGGCTCCTAGTTTCTAAACCTTCTTTAAGTGAACCTGAACAAATACTGAAAGATAAGCTATGGTCCCCTTAATGATCTGTTAATAGCATTGACGTCTCTGCTCTGTGTCCATATCCAAGATGATACTCTAGGAGTAGACTTCTAAATATACAATTTAAGTATTTATTGAATATATAGAGCAAAACTATACCAACCGATACAGTTTATAATCTCTTGGCACAGTCCTACAACTGCATAAAGTTTATATATAATCTCTTGGCATAGTTCTGTGACAGCATAAAGGCACCAAATCTGTGGGCTGGTCTCTAAAGGGATTCAATTGTAGTTTTTGAAAGTCTGTTCCAAATACCTCTTTCCAGTCATAAATGAAGTTCACTTGTTCTCTCATTTTTCTTTAGTCTGGCCAGGGTGCCAGAAGTGCTGGTGTTTGCAGTACAGCCCTACCAAAATATCCATACACAGCCATAAGGAAAATTGGAGCAGCTTTCCAGGTCACTGCATATAATGTATTTCTCAACAGCTAAAGGCAAGAGTGCAGACTGCTCCCTGCTGTAAAGCTCTGGTGGTGCATGGAAATATGAGCATCACACAGAAAGGACATAGCAGTGATCACAGCAAAGTCAGGAGCATAAATCAGCAGCCGTGTCTCAATCTCATGCTCTCTTTTAAGTGGAATTACCCTTCTTCTATTTCTATGACTAGATAATGTTACAATCACACAAAGATCTGTTGTGCTGCACACATGAAGCACAACCAAATCCTCCCTTAAAGCCAAAGCGGTTTCTGTGGAATTCTCAAGTATTCCCACAAGCACATTCACTGAGAGAGGTGTAAAGCCAGGGGAAGTACCCGGGATGCATTTAGGTGCTTTGAAAGTGACGGCAGCCAGGGCTGCTGCTCCAAATGGCTCTGGAAGTCTGTGGCTCCATCTAGAGACTAATCCCTCGAACTGCAGTACTGGAATTCCAGGTACGATGTGTGTAAAGGAGGTGGAAAACAAGGAGAATATAGCACTAAGCTCCCTGTTTTCCATGCCGGAGGAGGTGAGGACTGCCATGGATGTGCCACTTAGGCAGCCACTAACTCGTCAAACACAAAGCAAGAGTTTTGCAGTTCTGGATATGTTACGAAGAATCCAAATTACACTGTCGAGAAAAAGTATTCCTTGGAACTCACTGCTGGTTTTGATGGAATGCTCTGGGACAAACAGAATGTTCCATTGAACAGATCTTATCTGGTTATGGGAAAGGGATTATATTGCTTCACATGCATTTGTTGGGCTGTTCCCAGGTAGTAGCAGAGCAGCATAAACAAAGTGCACTAAAAATCATTTTGCTGAATAAACAGGAAAAAACAGTATCAAGATACTAAATCATGGTGCAAGAAAGACCCAGCATAGCTACACAGGCTATGTTATCCTTACATAAGAAGTTCAAACCAGCTGAGATGGAGTAAGCTGTAGTAAGCTCATTTATGCCACTGGAAAAGGGTTGGAGGAGAAAGTCAGTTAAAGCTAAATTCAAAGCCATTATTTCCAGCAGTGGGAAAGTGCCACAGGATCAGCCCAGGAACATGAAACATATTTAACATGAATGCAGAGCTCACCTTTCTAAGGCTTATTTGCTCACTTAAGAAGTAAATCTGCAATAACCTTACCTCTACATCCTGCTTGTTGGCCAACACCAGAATGGGAACCCCCTCCAGAGCTTCACTGGTAATCATCTTCTCTGTAAAGCACAGACACAAAACCAGAGGTTTAGTCCCTTCTGGCAGATAAAGTTGTGCAAATGCTTGACACAGACTATCTGGACCTAGGAAGGAAGCAAGAGGCTCCTTCAAGGTCATTATAGGCCACAAAGGTGAGTCCTGTGTTACAGACAAGACAGACTTCAACAAGAAAGTGCAGAAGCACTGCAGATGTGTCATCAACTGCCCACACAGCTTTACTTCAAGGACACAGGAATGAATGTGAGAGCAATGGGTGACCTGTGCCCCAGCACTTCATGAAATCACAGTGCAGATAAAACACAATGTACTCACCAAAAGCTCTTTTAGATTCTGAGAGCCTCTCCTCATCCGTGGAGTCAATAACATAGATCACACCGTGAGATTCAGCATAATACTGCAAGGGTAGCACAGGCATTAGTGCATCTATCCACTCATTTGTCCCTCTTCCTGATTTTCTGGGGTGAAATTTTGATACACGTGGAAGAGATCAATCAGTTGGAGCCAGCAGCCTCCACAGTACACATCTGGAGGGAATGGTGACCCACATAAAGCACTTCTTTTTCTGTTTGTACTAAGTAAACAGGTGAAAAAGCTTACCAGTCCCCCCCAAAACCTTATCTCTACTGGCACAACCCTCAGGTATTGGTTGGTAAGTGCTGTCTGTAAACACTAATGCAAATATCAAGCATTATCCTTGTTAATCTTGCCCAGATACAGGTGAATCTCTGGAAAAGTATTGATGCTAAATATTAGGGTTGCCAAGAAGGCTGCATCATTACTACATGATCCTAATGCTTCTAAAAAAGAACTTCTCTAAAAGAGACAAGAACATTTCTAAGAGAAAACAAATACATCTCCCACCTTGTCCCAAAGAGACTGTAGCTCCTCCTGTCCCCCCAGATCCCAGAACATGAGCCGAGTTTTGCCAACATCAATAGTACCAACTACAGGGAAAGAAGACAAAATCCAATGAAAATGAAAAGTGTTCTCTAAAGCACAGACACCTGCAAACCCCCCCAAGAAATGTGGGGGAGAACAAACTTCCAGAGGAGCAAATCACTCCAGGGAAATTTAGCTTGATCTCAGAGTGTAGCACTGAAGTGGAGTACTTGGGGTTTAAGCCTTCAGGGTTTTTAACTCATAAGCTAAGAAAGCTGATGTTATTCTCTTACAAAAGACACAGAGAGTTGGGGGATTCAATTTCTACTCCCAGGAACTATTTTGCCCTTGTCAATTATTAAACATTTCAATCAAGAACAAGCTCTTGACTAACTGCAGCAAAGCAGTTCCAAAGAGATTTACTTACTGTTTAAGCCTACAGTGGTTGTGATTTTGGACAGACTCATCCCTTTGTAGTTCTTGTTAAATCGAGTTTTAGTCTGTTCAAGGAAGGTCTGAAAAGGAGTAAGGAAAAGTATTTAGTCTCAAATTGGGGTAATCCCAACCCAAACCTGCAGAATCCAGCTCCAACAGATACTGCTGTGCCTAACCTTGGAACAAACTCTTCTAGTTCCCAATTTTAGCACGGAAAGAAGGGATCACGGGTGATTATGGGATTAGAAAAGCCCCAGCTACAACCTTCAAGGCTTATGCTAAGTTTAAGTAAAAGGGTAAAGTTGCTGCTTTGGTGTGACATGACTAAAATAACTCACAATACAGCTGAAGGAAGAGTGACCTGTCTGGTGGATGTTTGGACTTCCATGTGCCCCACACACAACTGGTCATAAACAGCACTTACAGTTTTCCCAGCATTGTCCAAACCAAGGATTAGGACGCAGTACTCATCCCTCTGGAACATGTATTTATAGAGCCCGGACAGCAGGGTATACATCCTGCTCCTGCAACAAGTACCAGGAAACATTAACAAACAGATCATTCCCAAAAGTCTCCCATTCCACAACATGTTTCCCAACACCAGATAGATAAACTACGTTTTTCTTTTATCAGTAACTGTCATATTCCAGCAAACCCAGGGAGATGGTGTAACTCAAGACTGAGTCTTCAAATGCAAGTGAGGGATTATCTTCCAAAGAGCTTCACCTCTTTCTGCATGTAGTGCCCAGTGTCCACTGCAAACACAACCCTCACTTGAGAACTACCCTGTTTGCCTCTGGGCTTAAACAAGAGCTTATATATAACAGTATCACGGGATCTTCAAGGGTTGAACTGAAGGCAGCGTATCTTAGAAGTGCATAAAACCTCCTACTTGTCTTAATTTAAGCCTTATCCAGCAACTAACTTCTGTTATGGCATCCGCTATCCAAGTGTATTGTCATCTTACAGTGCCATGAAGACAAGGCAGGGAAGGGAATTAGCCAAAGGCACAAGACTAAGAGTCAAAGTGACACGAACAGTGGCACAGGGTGCCCAGAGAAGCTGTGGCTGCCCCATCCCTGGCAGTGTTCAAGGCCAGGTTGGACACAGGGGCTTGGAGCAACCTGCTCTAGTGGAAGGTGTCCCTGCCCGGGGCAGGGGTTGGAGCTGGAGGAGTTTGGTTTCCAACCCAAACCATTCTAGGATTCTATGACAAGGTTTGCTAACACACAGGAGGAAGCACAGGAACCAAAAGCTACATCTGACCCACACGACACTGCACCACCTTTTCTGTTTAAACACAAAGGGAACCTCAAGGCAAAGGCTTCGAGATGCAGCTGTCTCCGAGCGAGGGCGCAGAGAAATAAGCAATTTGAAGTCAAACACCGTTCCCTGAAGGGGAA